CGCATATCTCCGTCGCAGATCTCCGCAAGCCCTCGTTGTCGCCCGCAGATCGCAGCTCTTCGGACCTCGCCCCGCTCCGCATCCCTCGATCTACCGCACCTCGGCCCGCGATCTACCGCACCTCGGCCCGCAGATCGCAGTTCAGTCGTTCTCGCCCGCAGATCGCAGATCTCCGCACCTCGCCCCGCTCCGCAGCCCTCGATCTACCGCAGAAAGGGTTTCTGCTCTGGAGATTGAGGTGAGTGATCAAATTTGTTGTTTTGTTGCTGCTGTAAGGTTGGGAATTTTGATTTGCTGTTGTTCTGTAGTTAGAATGTAGGATTCAATTTTTATAAGTTAAAATAGTTGTATTTATAAGTTAAAAAATTGCTGTTGTTCTGTAGTTAAAACCCTTTGGTTGCAATCCACCAATCGATCACAAATCACAAAGCATTAAAGGGTGTATATCCATTTTTATAAGTTAAAATAGTTGTATTTATAAGTTAAAAAATTGCTGTTGTTCTGTAGTTAAAACCCTTTGGTTGCAATCCACCAATCGATCACAAATCACAAAGCATTAAAGGGTGTATATCCATTTTTATAAGTTAAAATAGTTGTATTTATAAGTTAAAAAATTGCTGTTGTTCTGTAGTTAAAACCCTTTGGTTGCAATCCACCAATCGATCACAAATCACAAAGCATTAAAGGGTGTATATCCATTTTTATAAGTTAAAATAGTTGTATTTATAAGTTAAAAAATTGCTGTTGTTCTGTAGTTAAAACCCTTTGGTTGCAATCCACCAATCGATCACAAATCACAAAGCATTAAAGGGTGTATATCCATTTTTATAAGTTAAAATAGTTGTATTTATAAGTTAAAAAATTGCTGTTGTTCTGTAGTTAAAACCCTTTGGTTGCAATCCACCAATCGATCACAAATCACAAAGCATTAAAGGGTGTATATCCATTTTTATAAGTTAGCATAGAATATAACCATTATTGTCAAAACTCGGATCCTCACAAAAATTTTCATTTGGTACTTCATGTCCTAGTAGTTTATATAATATAAATTCGATCATATACTCCTTCACAAAAGAATCTCTCCGGTGTTGATTATAGAGTTTTAGGAACGTCTTTTCAGTAATGTGAAAGAGTATTTGCGAAGCATCTTCCTCTTTACCTTAGGTCATGTGGTGATCTTACTCTTCTATTATCATTGTCGAAGACGCTTCCTATCTTCTATGATCAATATATTTTTTTTTTTCTTATGAAGTGTTTATTTACCCTCATGTTTTTGGTTTGATCATGTTATAATAATTGTTTTTGCCATTATATATCCTCATAGATCATTTATATTCAATCATTAGTTCTTTTTAGCAGCAAAAGTTTACTAATTTCTTTGATTGTTGCTCTAAATTTAGATTCCACACTTTTTGTCTACACCACTTCTTCTTAGTTCACGTAATACATTTTCATAAGAGCAATTGCAATAACTTGAAGTTGATTATTATGGCCTTGTGGTTTCAGAGTTCTATGTTTTTTTTTTAATAGAGAATCCCCTTCTCCGTGTTTGATTTGAAATACCCGAGAACACGATAAGTAGCTTGAAGGTTGGCAAAATATCTAACTACAGAATTAACTATTGCTGAATTTGGCAAAAGCTATTGCTAATAATGTAATAAGCTATTGCTGAATGAAAGCAAGCAAAAGGATAATTAACGGCATGCTTCGTTTGCTGCCATCACCATGTAATATCCTTGATGCATAATTAACAGTTTTATCACATAGGGGCAGTTATGTCATTCAACCACCCATAAACTAGCATCAATAAGCTTGCCCAACAAGCCAGATTATTCTGATAATCTACAGATTATCAGATTATCACAATAATCTGCTTATCAGCAGATTATAAATAATCCACAGCTGCGCCAAACAGACCCTCAATCTATGTCAGATAACATTAATATCAATTTCTTACATCTTGATTGTTTAATAAGCAAATACATCGATATTTTCTTTTAGAGTTGACCTCAAGTGACTCCTATACTCATCAACAAAGGACAAGCTAACTCTAGAAGTACGACTCGAGTCATCCCGGGCAAGTACTTTCTTAATCTCTTCAGGGCTTTTCAAGCCTAAACTTTGAACTCTTAAGTCCAAGACATTGTCCTATTCTTTATGATTTTCATGTAACACATCCTTGATTGATGCAACTCACTATTCATTGTTATCACTTGTCCCTCAATTGGAACTTATTTTAACATTGTAGGTAGAGATGAATATATGGAAGCTGATGAATGGTTGTTCGAATAGGCCGTTATAGGTTGCTAAGGTATTAACTATAATGAAGTCAACTATGGCTATGAATTATATCGGTCTCATTTACAGGCTCTTGTCTCTCCTCTCTAAAGAACCTATATAAGGGTCCTACGTCTATGATAGACATGTTCTCTTGATGTTTTTCTCAAAGATGCTTTGAAATTGAACAATGATCAAATGCCCCTTATTGATTAATTTGTTGTTGATTTGATGATTCGATATCAATGTTATGACCACTATAATGTTACTATAAGGATTATTGTTAAAAGTGGTCTATCAACCTCAAAAAATGTGATGAGGATAATCTCTATAGTTAGTGCTTGGGTAGTGATTGCAAAGTTTGCCTCTCCCGGCCCAAGTTGCTAAAAATTGTCAACAAATTGCTTCTTTTGCTCTGATCAGGAATACTGCTATGACTTTAGTTCTGTGAATCACTCTCGTGGGAATTGGTTCATTTCTATCTTCTACCATGGGCTTCTCTAAGCTTACAGTTATTCAATTATGTCTTTTATGTGAAAAAATCTTTATCGTCATGACCGAGGGCTTGCTAGAGGGCATAGTATTTTTGTCATATATATCAAGTGAGGGATGCCCTTGCCTAAATAATTGTTATTCTAAATATCCTTGACTATACATTTGGTCATTGATGCTTGTAGCTTAGTGATGTTAAGGATTCGATGGGTATGTTGAGGTAAAGGAGGTGTCTCCCTTATCCATCTTTTATTGTGTCAAACATGGTGAGTTTGCCTTGATTGGTGATGAGGTTTTGTAAGAGACTAAGATAGTGGTTGAGGACGAGGTCAGGTAGCCTCTTCTAATTCTAAATCTTTGCCCGATTTTGTCGTTCTCGTCGAAATTGTCTCATCTTCCTCCCTCAGTCAAAGCCTTTTAGTTTGCTCGAAAGTGATTCATTCATCTTGTTATTATAATCTTTGGTTTTGCTATGACTCTTGGTAAGTTCGAGCAACTCAACCAATGTTCTCCTCTACTGCAGGTCGTCGTGTAGTGTAAAGGTTATTCATGAAGGCCTTGAGTAAGAGCAGCTTCAACCATAGTTGGCTCTGAAGCTTTGACTTCAAGCATCCTTCTTTGAAAGCTCATCATGAAAATTTTATTGACTTGTTAGGCTCTTTGCACATCTTGCAATGCCTATGGGTTCTGGGTTTATTGGGTGTGTTGGCAAAGTGAGTAATTACTAATTTTTTTAAACTCAATAAATTATGTAACCATCTCGAGTGGCAAGCAGGAAGATCATTTAAGGGTTGACTCCTTAAAGATTATAAAAATTAATCATATCGGTGATGTCAAGCAATGAGATCTTATATTAAAAATGTATAACATGATCGATCGGATCAGTCTGACCTTAATATGTGTCCCAGTGTGGGATTTTGAATTTAGTTGGTTGTTTAGCTTCTAGAATCTCTTTAGAAAAAACATTCATCAACTGAGAACACCTTTTTTCTACTTTCCCTTCTATTTGGCCAGGCTTCGGGGATGAGTAATCTAATTTGGAGTTCGGATAATATGTTTCATCAAGAGATAGTAGTGCTCCTCCAAAATGTTTCCTCTTGGCTGCCAAGCTAGTAGATACTTTAGGCAGTACTCCCATGGGTGCATTTCTTAGGATTTAGGCCCCATTTGGGGAGTGGCTTAACGCCTACGGTGTGACCCGAGGCTTGTCGGGCATGCGTTTGATAAAAGCTGTGCATCCACTTAATTGGATAATTTGGAGGAAACGCGGGCTGCGGGTTGCAACCCCATTGTTGTCCTTCCAACACTCCATCGGTAGCTTCCCTGCCATCTGTCGCCTCCCTCCCAGCAAGCTGCAGACCTCCCACTGGCCTTTACCACCACTCTAGACTCCCTTCTCGCCGAGCTTGTTGTGTTTTTGTTTGTTGAGGCTTTATCTATGATGTTTGTTTTATGCTTTGACTTATTGTATTTCTTTCTATTGAGTTGATGTTGTAATTGTGAATAAGTCATTAGTACAATGGTGTCTAGCGTCGTGATTTGGGTTAATCTTTGGTATCATTTGATCTCAGATCTAATTCAACCCTAGTCCTAGACCAGTGTTTCTAGCATCCGCCCCTACCCAACCCACCACACCAAATTCTTTCTCCTTTCTTTTCGTATTTATATTTTCTCTTCTTTCTTTGTTCCTTCTTCTTTTTCCTTCCACAAATCTCAAACCATCGAACCTGCCGCCAAGGAGAACTATGCTCAAGCCTACTTAGGTGGAAATACGGCGAGAGATCCGCCGATTTCAGCGGTGGATTGTGGACATTGAAGATGAATTCGAATGAATGCTACCCTCAACCATGATCGGGAGCATCGAAAGAGAAAACAAAAAGATATGAAGATAAATTGGGAAACACAACGCCGGTTCCTACGAACATACTATCGCCAAAAGTTGTAGATTCAAGTGTCCAAAGTGGATAGACTACAAAACCAAGTGAACTTTATTACCATCTGGGGAAACTAATTTGCAAGTCTGTTCCAGCTAGAAAATGTTACAAGCGCCACGAATTTGAACATGTTGAAGCAGAATGGGGAGTGATCTACTTCACCTAGCAGGGCGTCGTCGAAAAATTGGGTAAAGACACTGCAAACACTGAAGAGCAGATTTGTTTTACTGGGCATGATGTTGTTGAAAAATTGGATAGTGACAGTTGATATGGGAGAAATTAAAGACTTATGGGAAGATTCTCCTCTTGCAGCTAATGAGGAAGAGACACAACCAGTTCCAGTGGATTCCGAAATAGAGATTCCAGTTAAGGTAACAGTAGCCGTTCTGGAAGGTAGTGACATCAGTGTAATGAGCGTTCAAGTAGAGTATGAAACTGTGGTACCTCAAGATACCGTTTCACAGGCGTTGATAGAAGCTATGACTGGACCGACCTTGGCTGTCCAGAAGGATCACGAGCTTGAGGAGCCGACATCAGATACAAGACCACAATAGATATGAGAAATACTATTTTTTTGATATGGTTAGACCTTTTCTTGAGTTATTCCTACGAGGGAAGGTCCAATATGCTCGAAGAGGAGTCATTTTATGCCACGTCGAGAATATCACATGGAGTTACTCAGAGGCTATTTTTCGTTTCGAATGGTACCTCTTGTCAGATGTCCAAACAGAAATGAATCCCAACTTTGTAATGAGCCCGAGGAGCTTGATGGGGACAAAAATTCTCCACTGGGATCCAGATCCTATTTGTGGGGTGGAGCTCTCTCCCAAGGGGTGCCAGTGAGAGTGACATAGCCTTCCATAAATTTTATCCTAAAATCGAGGTCTCCTTGCATACCTGTCGCTCAACCACCACACGTTATGCACGAGAAGTGGAAGCAGAAGATTTTAAATGTAAGGGCTTGAGAGTTGTATATGGGAACTCCCCTCTATATATAGCTACCGCTCAAGATGTACCAAAGAGGATGGCTACCTATTCTACCAGAATGTGTTGCTGACATGATCGACCTACCAGAACCTACCAGAGAACTTACCGTCGCATCGTGAGGATCCAAAAGCTTTGATGAATGACGTCGAAGCTTCCCCAACCCCGGGAGAATGATGTCGAAGCTTCCCCAACCACCGCTAGTTGTTCCTGCAACCTCCCTGTGGGCTATCGCAGCCTCTGCTACTCATTCGACCCACTGTCCTGTAGGTCACAACCCCATTGCTGTCCTTCCAACACCTCATCGGCAGCTATCCTGCCATCCCGCCATCTGCTGCCTCCTTTCCAGTAAGCCGCAGACCTACCCCAGGCCTTTCCTAGCACCTACCACCACTCTAAACACCCTCCCCACCGAGCTTATTGTGTTTTCATTTGTTGAGTCTTTATCTATTATGTTTTGTTTTATGCTTTGACTTACACACTATTTTTCTTTCTTTTGAGTCATCATTGTAATCGTTTTGAAGTCATTAGTAAAATGGTGTATTGCGTCGTGGTTTGGGTTAAACTCCTGTATTAGGTGATGTGCAATTTGTGTAGATAGTGGTGGTGATATTATGACATTGCTATTTTTCTTTGAGTTGTAAATATTTTTTTTGACAATTTTTTTTTATTAGTTTTTTCATGTTAGTAATGCAATAGCTAAGACTAAAGAGGTCGTTTCTTTCGCTATGTGGGATAAAGATATGAAAATAATATTGTGCGATATTTGTCTTAAGGAGGTCGAATTAGGAAATAAACCAACAACCTTTTTTTTTTGACAAGGAGGGCTGACATAATTTTATTAAAAAGTTACAGGAAAGTAAAGACAGGGAGTATGATGAGATGCAATTAAAAAACAAATGAGATCAATTAAAAAAGTATTGAAAAACTTGGAATGAATTCAAATGAGGATCTACGAGCTTGGGTTGGGATCCAATAAGACGAACAATTGATGCTTCGAAGGAATGGTGGACAGAGAGATTGGAGGTGAGCATTTATGGAACGTCTATTATTATTATCAAACTTACAATTTTTTTTAGATGCATCAATATATCCTATGACTTTATAGGTGGTGGCAAATGCGAAAAAAATTAAACACAGTGGCATCGAGCCTGAATTGGAAGAGAAGTTAGGCCGCATGTTTGGTGGTGTCGTGATTATGGACAATAATGCATGCGCTCCTAGTGATGCATGGTTTGGTGATATTGCTTAAAACTTGGATGCTTAACAAATAGGTGATTCTAATGAAGACCCTAGCACGAACCTCTGTGAAGTTGACTCTGTCAGCCGATCCAAGCATTCTAGAGTTGAAGGAAAAAAAAGAGGGCGCTGCTTTCATTATAAGTCAGATTTCACAGTTGGTGATTTCATGCACCAATGACCTTGACCCATCACAAGCGACATCCATTCAACAGGTTATGCGAATTCTGGAGGCAACTCTAGAATTTAGAAACTAATGATGACATGTTGTATTTGTTCTCTATGAAGTTGCTTGAAGACCCGATCCGGATAGTTTTTCATGAGATTGACCACTGTTCGTAGGGGATATTATTTATATTATTTTCATAAGAACAGAGACACTTGAGGGATGCTTGAATTTCATTTTATTCTAGGACATTTTATATTTGCTTTTGGATGGGCCGTTCTTGTTGCTTTGGTTTTTTATTTTTTCATTGAGATGTTGTTCATGCTTACTTGCATTTTTATTTTTCATTGTTATGTTTTGTATTTGCTTTTCCAATTTTATTTGCACGTATTTTTTCATGTAGCTAAATCAGTGATTCTTATGTGTTAGCTACATTGATGTAAATAGAGAAAGACAGAAGAAGAATTGCATCTGCAGTGTGTTTGATGTATGAGTCTTATAACTCATATATAGTGCACTTTCTTTGCATGACATCCTCTTACATTGGTGACAAGTGGGTTGGGGAGTTGTTTGCGGGTCACTTAATAAGATTCAATAATATGTTTCTTATGACATAACCCGTATTTATCAATCTCTTGGAAGAACTACATGGAAATCATAGACTTCATCGCTCTTTTAGAATGACATAGCAAGAAGTGTTAGCAATAACCCTCTACATATTATCACATAATGAATCAATGAGATGAGTCATGGAGCTATTCCTGCATTCATCTGAAATAAACTGTAGGTATTTTTCATTTGACTTGAATGAACTAATCAGTTTTTCATCACAAGACATCAAACCGACTGACCCAAAATTCAAAAGGCCTCCCATAGAGATTTGGCATGAAACATGTTATATGCCATATTTTTAGTTAATCTTTAAGCTATACATAATGAATGTTGTTTGATCTTATTAATTTGAGCTTTTGAGGCTTTCATATAAATTTTGGTGCTTTCTATTATGCTCAACGTAAGCCTCGTTTTGTCAATATTGGTTGATTTTATTCAAGAACGTGTAAATGCTGGAAATCATGTAAATCGAATCATTTTTTTTTGGAAACTGAATAATATATTTCTTTCGTACATTACACTTGTTTTGCAGCCCACAACTTGTATTATTGAAATGTCAAACAATGCAAAATCAAATATAAAAATCGAAGCATGACCGAACATTTCGTCATTCATCACAGCATGAATGCTGTGCATTTGGATTCTGCTATTCAAAAAATAGTTTTTTTATTTATTTTTATTTATTTTTTATTTTTCTGATGCCTTACAGATACTGGGACTAGTTCTTCAAAATCTATTCAAATGCGTCTCTAATTATTTGTATTATATTTTAGTGTTCTCTACCATATCAAATGTCGTAAATAGCTACAGGTTTTTTCAACCTGTCAGAATATTACAATTATGATGAAGACACGAAGTTTCCACCGTTAAAATTCTCTTTTGCGGTTTTATCTGACAAATTTTCTCATTTTATGCAGGGAGCAATCATGGGACCTTTGTTGTTGACGGTCATAATTGCCGTAAAAAATCTCTATGTTGAATTTGTTCTTGGATCTTCGAAGGAGCGCAATAGATGACTCTCTTGGTGGTATAAGAAGCTGTTAATAGAAGGCGGCCTTGTGTTTTAAAGCTTTTGTTTATAGGTGTAGATATTTAAATTAGCTGACATTCTAATTTCAACTTCGTTGCTCGAGTGCTTTAAATTTTGAGAGATGTCTACAAGAAGAACATCTTACTAAAGATAATATTTTAATTAAATTATTTTCAATTTTAACTCTGGATTTATCTTTTTGGAAACCTTTGCTAGATAAATGGTATGGAAATCTGCTAATTTGTGGCAAAGAAGGAACGAAAAAAAATCATGTTTAACTCTATGGTATTTGAGAATTGAATGAAAGGAATGAATAACTTTTTTGGGAAGTTATTCATACTGCATAGAGTCAAAATCGTACATAAGTTTATGTATTTAAAGTTTTTTTTAACAATGCTTGCATCCAATGATGCCTCTTAGATTTATTGGATCCTTAGGATGGGCCGTGGATGACTACCCTGTCAAAACATACTACAGTCTTTCACCCACACATGCACACACTTAGATGCTATAATTAAGACACTATATGTTAGATGGTATGCTAGGCCAGGACTAGGGTACTTGGTAATCTTTTTGATGTACTGGCTATAATTTTCTGTTGGCTTGGTTGCCTTAGTCAGACAACATTTTGTCCTGTTTTGTGTTTACTGGGGTGTGAAATGTGCGCATTAGTAGGTGAGGGTTAGTTTTCTTGCAGAGTGCAATGTCCAGTAGGGAAGAGTTGTAATGATATACACTAACATATTTTTTGCAGGTGATGTTAAGCTCTCCTCCCACCATGCATGCATCACTACTTTGCATGCTTATAACCTGTGTTGTTCCCACTACTTTGCAGGTCAAGTTTTTTTTCTAGATTTTACCATGTACTTTTTAGAGTATTTAGGTTGATTCTGTGTTTAAAAAAAGGTACGAGCATGAGTTTTGAGATGCCTACCAGGCGGAACCACTTGGCGGGAACCAGGAGCTGCAGGTTTGTGTTTCATACCTTAATTCTGATTCCTCTTTCTTGTATAGAATTAGGACTAGACTTGTATAAGCGGCACATAGCCGCCTTTTTCTCTTTTCTGGGATATGTTGATAACTTAGCGACACTAGCCTTTTATTTATTATATTTGACGTGCTTTTACTTTTTACAGTGTGATTGACATAGCTTCGTCATTATTTCTTGTGGATTGTCTGAGCTCTTTGCAAATATAACTTAGGCTATATAAGGACCTTATATTCTAAACTTTCTACAAAAATCCTAATAAAGTATGAATACTAATAAAAATTTAAGATTAAAACATTTCAAGATTTTCAAAATCTATATTTACTTTTCTGTATGGCCTTCAAGCTAGATTATAAACGGGGTGCATAGCATGACCATAACCCAAGTTATATCTAATAGGGTCTCCACATTGGGACAGATTAGCTCACTGCATCATTCTACATGTCCTGGGGAGAAGCTCCGTGCTTCTTCAACCCGACTAACCCAACATAGATTTATATTTAGGTGATTGTCTAACATGCTTAGGGTGTTAGAG